GCCACTACGGGCCCCATTTCCGTCGAAAACCTGCCAGAAGCACTAAAACGCCACACCCCGAAGGAACCTCCACTTCTAAATCCTGAACCCTAAACCCTAAACCCTAAACGGTGGTAGTATAGCCTTAATTATGAGGGGCAGTATGGGAACCCATGAACTCACATGTGGCCAGTTCCATCTCCAGGGCTCCGCCACAGCCTCCACGGGTGCCTGCCTCGCTGGGACGAAGCTTCGCAATTCTAAAAAAGTTTGTATAAGGATTTATTTAGGGATTATATGTGGGGTTTTTTATACAAGTAGGATGTATACAGGGATTGTAGGGTTTATGAGGCTTTATGTAGGAGCTTACGAGGTTCATGTAGAGATTGGGGCGTCTAGGAGGCATCTAGAATAGCAAAGAAGACCACCCAACCAGAACGCGGGATGGCGGGGGCGCTCGATGCAAAAAGGCCCGGGCGGGGGGTGGGGGGAGGGTCCTTCTCTTTAAAAAACCGTGGCCCTGGGAAAACTGCCGCAGATGTGTGTCCAACTAGCTCTCTTCCAAGCGGCGGGCTGCCCACCGGCGTTGGCTCACCAGAAGCCCATGAGGGCTTCTCAGGAGATGGGATGCCCGCGTATACGACTTAGATGTGGCATGATGTGGCAGGAATGCTTCTTTCCACGTTCCCCATCTTGCTCTACTTGGTTGCCTGCCCACGCAGCTGTGAGAACACGCCGGACACGTTGACGGACTAATGGTAAAGGCATCTTGTTTTGACATTGAAGCTGCTGCTTCCTTTCGTGCTAATATTCTGCTGCGCGTTTTGAGATCAAAAGCGTTCACGGCGAGCAAGGCTCAACAGCAGTCCCAACCGGCAGAGATGCTTTGATGAAGACAATCCCCAACGGGAGCCCAAAGTCCAGCTCCGTCTCAAAATGGTGAATGAGGGGGTTGAGCAGCGTTTAAAGGACAAGGACTAAGTGATCGGACCCTGAGCTGCAACTAAGGTGTTCTGAGTCACGAGCCGGTCGGTTTGTTATCGCCTTGCCACCGCTCGGTCGCTCTTTAGCATTTGTGCTCGGACGCTGCCGGCAGCACGCAGTCCGACCAGTTCTACTTCGACAAGACGATGCCATGGCGCGACACCTCTCAAGCTTTGCCCTTCTTCACAAGATCCGCCAAGTTGGTACGGCCAAGATGTGTTTAGAGATGCACGTGCAAAACTGTGAGAGGTGGCAGCTCAACACTTCACCTCAAGGAGGGTGGGTCATCCCGGCCGTGAATTAAACAGTTAGACGTCGTGCAGACAGACTAGCTGGCTCTAAGACTTCTAAAGCTTGAGCGAGCAGATCAGCTAGACTCCAGCAGCGGAAATGCGCAGGTGCACTTTTAGGCGCCTGCAAGTGGCTTTGCGCCAACTGCTCCAGGAAGGTCATCCCGGCCATGCATTAAACAGTTAGACGTGCTGCGAACAGACTGAATGCCTCCAGCCAGGCTTATGTGCTACTACGGAAGTTCCTCTGCGCAAACTGTAAAGCTTCAGTGAGCAGATTAGCGAGACTGCGCCGGTGAAAACGCGCAGGCTCGCTTGAAAGCACCTGCAAGCGGCTTTACGCCAACTGCCGATGGCCTCGCTTGGGCCTTGGGTGTCTGAAATCATTGGCTCGATGCAGTGACTGTTCTCGGCACCGGGTCGAGACCACCTGCAGCAGGATTTAGGGTTTAGGGTTTAGGGTTTAGGGTTTAGGGTTGAGGGTTTAGGGTTGAGGGTTTAGGGTTGAGGGTTTAGGGTTTAGGGTTTATAGGGTTTAGGGTTTAGGGGATCCGCTTGGGGAAGCTGTCTGATGGAACCCAAACTTGGTCTACTGGTTGCTGGTCGGCGGTGGTTCTTTGCACCAAACACTCATGTTGCAGAAAGGGCCCATGCGTCCTGCTGGTGACACATGTGCACAAGTCCCATGAAGCTGGAAAAATCTGGAAAACACAGGCACCCATTTTATATCATATGTTTCTGCACCGGAGACTTACATCTCACACGCTCGGATCCTAGCCAAGCAGAGAGCCCCATCCTTCTCTTACGCAACTCAAGGGAGAAAGTTGCTTGGATGGCTTCCTCCTTCAACGAAAGTTTGGGGGGCGTCGAGCTCTGGAAGACGAGGCTGGAAGGAGAGCCTCGGGATCGGTTTTACGTGTAGAACAGAACTTTGCTCCGCGGTGCGCCGAAGGACATATATAGATTGGTGGAAAGTCCCGGATAGAAATCTAGACATTCCACGCTCCTTCCTTCACCTGAAAACATGTGAGATTGAAGACATGTATCGCCCAAGGCTTCCTACCGTGTGTGCCTTGACCGGCTCTTGCTTAACGGCCAGGCAGATCATGCACATCAGAGTCGAGCGCCCAAACAAAGGGCACCACCGACCTGGGCTCGCTTCTTGTTGGCTTGGGCTTGGGGTTTTAGAGGGGCTTGGAGGGTTTGATTCTGATTCGCGTGCAGGGATTTAGGGTTTAGAGGGCTCAGCATGAGACACTTCCTCCCCCCCCCTTCCCAAGCTTGTCTCGTACTTCCTCTTACAAACCGCAGGGGATGGGGGGGGGATTCTTGGAGTGTGGAGGATCACCACGCTTGTTCCAGTTTGTCTGCACCTAGCATTTTCATTGTTGATATTACCATTTCACTATTCCTTCGTACCAAAAGCTGACACTTTCCCGCGTTCCAAGCTGACTCCATGCCCCTTCCTCTTCAAATCTGCAAGAGTTAGACAAAACACGTTTCGCCCAAAGCCTTCTACTGTGCGCCTCGACCAGGCACGGATGTCATCCAGGCACGGATATGTCATCCGGCTCGTCCTTGACGTCCAGGCAGATCAGGCCCACGTTTGTGCAATCATAAGAGTCGAAAGCGCGAAAGGGCACCACCGACCTGGGTTTGCTTCTTTAAGGCAAACTCGGTGTCCTTGCCGATCTTGTTCCAGCTGTCTGTACCTGGGAAGCTGAAACATCTCGCTGCAGCCATGCTTGTCAACATTCTTGACGTGATTCGCCGCTGAATCCTTAAAGCCCTTTTGAGCCAAGCCGCAAGTCTTGCGGACTTCACCCGGTGGCACCTCCGGAGGTGAGGCGGCGACCGCCCTGTGGTGGAGGACCTCCCCGTCGTCCGTCAGCATCTCCTCGGCGAGAATGGGGCAGGTGTCTGACTGGGGCTACAATTACAAGCAGGGCACCGCTTGCTGTGATGGGTGGCGACCTTTGCTGCGGGTTCTTCTGATCGTTTCAAAAACGGCCGGATGAAATTTTCAAGAGAACCCCATAAAGCCCCAAAAACCCTATGTGCTTCCAGCCTTGGGCCCCTGAAGCAACCAGCAACCCTTCTAAGCCCCGGGAAATGACAAGAACAACCTTTTCGGCGCCCCGTCTCCTGGGATCAACCCGGGAGGCGCCAGCGGCAGACGCTGTGTCTGGCACCATACGACACTCGAAAGGCCATTCTGCATGCTCGCGCGGCATATACTTACTCCATAATTTGCTGTATATGTTAAGTAGGCTTATACAGAATATGAACCAAGGTGATGGGGCTATAGTATAGGTCTGCTGCAAGTAACCATTGGTCACGGCGTGGTCCCGAAGATAATCCGTGATGGTGCTGAAGCTACCAGTTCCTGGCCTCTGCTCACGTCGTTCCTTATATAGCTTCCATTTCCTGTCCACTGTTTCTATTCCAGTTGACTCTTGATGGTTCTTGATGGCTGGTGGAACCACAGACGGATCCACAAGCATGGAAGTTCGAGGCTTCTTGGAGAAGCTACAGCTCATCTGCCTCCTATGTTGTCTAAGTGCCAGAAGCATGCCTTCCAAGCGCCAGAAGTCCGCCCGCGTGAGTTAACCTCCCAAGCGCCAGACGTCCGCCCGCATGAGTTTAAGATCCCACTCCCATGGCCAAGGCCTTTTGACAGGCACGGGGCACGTTAGCATTGAAAGTCTGTTGCTTGGGTGAGACATGGTGAGACAAAACTTGCAATAGCAGCCGGCAACTACCAACCAATTAAAGCCTAATCATGGAGGAGCATCTCCCAGAGGTTGGGAGATTCTGTGGGGCGGGTTTGTTCGGAGCCCTTGCACGACGCGAGGCAAGCCGGGAGACCGCATCCCCGAGGGAAAATCAAATGTCCCGCCCACACCCCGAATTGTCGGGGCTGCGGTCTCCCCTTGTAAATTTTGTTTCAACAGCTTCCGGCTCCGAAGCCAAACCCACCAAGAGGCACGTCTGTGCCACTTTGTGGCTTTTGTTTTGCTAGGCCCTCTGTGGCCACTGCCGGGGGCCTGCTATTCGAATCGGAATGTTCGTGGGCTTTTTCAGGGTCCATCAGCTCCTCAGGGCCTCTTTGGATGCTTCGGAAACCACAACAGCGCTTGGCGTCCAACGCTCGGCCCTCGAAGGCTTCGCTTGTCAACCTCAAACCCCCAAACCAAACCTTCCAAGCCCTAAGCCCTCAAAAGACCCTAAATCCATAAACCCTAAACATCCTAAGCCCTTTGTAACAAGCCCAAAAAGCCGCTAACCAAAACCCTAGTTCTGTGGGAGAGCTTTCCCCGAAGCCGGGCCCTGAGGATGGTCGTTTGGCCTCTCTCTTCGGAGGGCAAAAGGAGTGAATTGTTCGAGCGCTGTGGGCATTCGCAGTTCTTATAAGTTGGCCCCCCTTGAAGCCCTGAAGCAGATGCTAAGTAAGATACTCTTACGCACAGAAATTGATCTTGCAAAGATTGTACCACAGCAGAGGATTCTTGGCACACTTGATGGAGAGCCCACAGCGCTCCTAGCGCTGCGGCCGGAGCTTCAGATCTTCCATGGTGCGATCCCGGAAGGCAGCGGCGACTGCCTGCATCATCGAGATTTCTGTGGTGCTTAGTGTGCAGCAGGGAGTGGACTTGCATGAGCGAACCCGACCAGCATTGGCGTTGTGACCGGGGGTTGCTCTAGATGAGAGGCGCCTCACGCGCCCTATTCCCAGGCTTTTCTGACCTCCACGCCGGCGTCGCTGAGGGAATTCTTGTGGAGCCACAGGATCTTGAGCACCTTATTGTCGCGGAGGCCGTGGACCAAGGCCTGCGGCGCGGCTTGTTGAGAGGCGTGAGACAACGAGAGGCCTTCGCAAAACCTCTGCTGCTTCAGATTCGCTGCACGGCCGTTCATCGCAGCACCCTGAAGATGCAAGATTTTTTGAGGTCCAAGACCTCCAAGCTCAACAGCCCCAAGCCAGACTGTCCCAAACTTTGCAAAATCCCCAAGCCGGACCGCAAAAAGGCACAACGCCGTGCACCCACGCCTCTGCTCCCACATTGCTGATCCGATTCTGACTCAGGGTCAGCGTGGTCAATTTCAGCAGTCGCGGCAGGACCCCGGCCAAGGCCTGCAAAAGGACACCGAAGCCCGGCAACACTCTGGCAAGCCTGCTTTGGTTTTAGAGAACGCGGGGCTATGGAGCATACCATGCTATGCCCTTTCACCAGTACGACTCATGTCTCACTGATGCGCTGTCACCAACAGTGAACCCAAAAAAGGCTAAGGCAAATCTCACCATCTTGCAAGGTTCTCAGCGTGGAGCTGTGCACCGATTCGAAAACTTACTCACCGAGAATACAGCGCAAGAGGCTGCCTTGGTGCACATGCTGTTGAGAGCTCCAAAGGAGAAAGTTCCGCCTTTCCACACATACTTCTGCAGAACCCCCTCACCGTCCTCACCTGTGCAAGCTTAGTCCCGGAGAGCTTCCTCGTGCATTTCACTCCTGGACTGTCTTCCCCGGCGCAGAAGTGAAAGGATGATAAACCGCAAAGGTTGTTGGATTGTCGGATTCCTAAAAATGCGAACGTCGTCGGCCTGCGCGCCATCATCGCCGAAGCTGTTGTCGCGCAAGCCGAGAATCTGTGCAGTTCCCAGAACAAAACAAGTATCAATCTCATACGCTGTTTGCTCACTGGAATACACAATGCGAACAGTGCATCTGCGCAGTGCATGACAAGCACATTCCAATCCATCATGAGGCTTTCAGCAGGGCTGCAAGTCATCATGGCAACACCGCCTGCATCTGCGTGAGGTGCTGGAGGACTTCGGCCAGGGCCTGGCATACGATGCAAACCCGCTTCCCAAAACCTCGATATTCTAAACTCGCAGCCCGTCGCTCTCTCAGCTGCGCGTCCCAATCCCATGCAGCTGCCGCAGCATGCTGTTTCCTGGCTTCCAATTGAACCGATTTCAATGGGAACTCCTGGGAGGTTACGAATGAATGATTTGTTATGATTTGTTGATTTAGAGGGCCCAAACTCGATGCCGAAAAATGGTGTCTTGCAAGGGCCTCCCCAGTTGCTACTTTCTGTTTGGACAGCATGCTCACCTGGCCCAGGGCCTCTAGACTCGAGAGCAGTTGGGGAGAGTGAGGCCCAAGCTGCCAGAAAACTTGCACCAAATGCCGAACGCCCCTTGGAAGACTTTGACTTCACTGTCCGAGTCTCTCCGGAAAATAATACACTTAAGACGGAACAGGCAGCCAGCCCTTTGCATGTTTCAGGCGCTCTTAACATGAGGTGATTGGCCTGAATGTCGAAAGTTCGGCTTGCGGCATTTCTCATTTGCAGTGTGCATGGCTCCATCTGCCAAAACAGAATTCCTCACGTGCTGGCACTGACTCACGGGTCCCTTTAAAATCAGCAACTGTTGAGAGTTTGACAAGGCCTCCGAAGTTTGTAGAACAAACTTGTACGCCATTCTTTCTGGGTGATGAGCCTATATAGACCTCTTCCTGAAACCTTTAGCCCCGTTGAGAAGCCGCCACAACTGAGACGGAGGATCAGCATGACAGGCTTGTCCTGTGCGTTTTGCTGCTTCGTACTGGCTGGTGCCGTGGTTGGCGCTTGAGCGTGTCGGAGTTCGGGGGCCCTGGGCTTGGTAATTTTCCTGGGCCCGGCTGCCGGGCTCAGAAACCAAAAGTCGTCAAAAGACGAAAACAGAATGACAACGCACCACCACGAGCATAAATGGGGTGGGGGACGAACAGTGCACCACTACAGGAAGTGCACGGACCATGGAGCAACCTGCCTCCACCATCCCTGACGAGGGGATACGATTTAGATACGTCTTGGAGGCCAGCAGCGTTTTCAAGTTGCCCTTGGGTCTTTGAAAAGGGAGTGAAGCAATTTCTTGTCGTTAAGATCTGTCTACAGGGCACAGACCTAAGCCCAGGCTTCCCAACCCCCTCCTGCGCTGCTTTTGCCAACAGAAAGCACGGCCCTCCTCTCCCCGACTCTCGCACCCTGGGTCCTGCCAACTCTTGAGGCCTCTAACCCCATTCTTGGAAACTGCCAGAACTGAGATGTGCAGCTGGAAGGTGCTCGGAATTGGTTTAAATGCTGGAGCGCATCATGAATTATGTTAGGGCTGGCGTGGGCTTGACGGTGTAGGAGTTCGGGCACTGGGCTTGGCCTGTCTTGCCTCGGCTTAGAAAACCGAAATCACCAAACCACAGAAGCACAACATCAAAGTAAGACCGAGTCCCGCCGCTAGATTCTATTTGGAAGATGCGAGGTCCGTATCCGTGCTGCTTCACTTCAGCACTGTCTATGCGGAAAGCTGATGTCTGCCTCTACAGCCCGCAGGGCTTCACAAAACGCGCTCCCTTCAGAAGTCTTCTGTGATATTTCCACAGCGGCCCAGCCTGGGCTCCAGAATCTCCGATGGCGTTGTCGGCCAGCCTCAGGTCCTTCACCGGGAGGGGCTCATAGGAATGCGGACTTGCGGCATGCAAGCTCAGAGAAGAGGCGGCCGCACGGCGGTTTTGAGGCTTGCTGCTACCCTGAGCTTCGGCTTTGGGGCGATTCAGTTCGAGGCTTCGGGGCAGATATCTCGCACTGCACCGCCTTGAGTTTTTCTAATGAAGTCAACAGACGTGATGACTATGCACAAGCTATGCCGCCATATCCTTCCAAGATGCCTTGCAAGCTGACCGACCGCGGCTAAAAACTATCGTTGTCGTTGTGATACACCATGCTTTGCACTGGAAGCTCCTTATGGGGCCCTCTTAGCCAGAAACCCTAAACATCCCGAAGCCCTAAACCGATGAGGAAGCGGCTCCAAGATCCCTTTCAAACTTCGGGGGGGAAGAGTCCTTCAACTCGCGGTCAAACCCGAATAGCATGCCGCTCCCAAGCAGAGCTCCCCTGGCGACCTTTACAAACCCCGGCGGAGACTGGCAACTGGCGTCCTCGATGTTCGGGAGAGCTTTCAGTGCTTCTCCCAGGGCCTCTGCACACGAGGAAGTTTGGGGAGAGCGGGTCTTGGAAGTTGGGAGGGCCATGTCCCGGACTTTGACTCGTCACAGTCCGAGGCTCTCAGGATAACTCCGCAGGAAATGCTTTTTGTACGCACTTAAGACGGAACAGGCAGTGCACCTGCACCGAGCAGATCCTTGATCAATTCCAGGCCTGCGTCCCCGCATCGCCGAAGCCATTGTTGGCCAGGCTTAGGTCTCGTAGATCCTTGTGGTGTGCGAGGCCCTCGGCGATGGCCTGCATGGGGACAGGCCACGGGCAGAAGCGCACCTTCGGCCCTCAATCTTGCCATCACGTCGCCGGATGTCCAAAACAGCGTCAGGGCCTATACAGTACCGACTCCAAACCTTTCCCCCCTCCCAAGGCCTGCAGGCCACTGTCGCCGATGCGATTGCCGAAGAGCCACAGCACCCGCAGCGAGGAGTGGCCGCCCAGACCAGCTCCAAGGGCCTCCGCAGACGACCGAATCTATAGGACTCTTCGTCTTTTGGAAACGGTGTAGGCATCATGGCCTGGCCGGGCAAGTACCTTATCCGGGGATTCTATAGGATAGCCAAGTTCTGTTTCCTAGGCTTGGCGGCACGTCGTTGTAGAACCCTCCCAGAAAGTGGGAAAGTCCTTGCTGAACCCCCAGGCATATCCTCTTCGCAGGGTCTCCCAGAGGAAAGGAGGTTGAAAGTTCATGGCCGTAAGAAACTATATGTATTGCAAGTTATGCTTGGCGCAGGACGAGTATTGCAATTGCGAAAGTACTTGAGTGGGCAAGATCTGACATTTTTGATCCTTAAGGGGGTTGTCGGTGCGAAGCAAAGGTATTGCAGATAGCTTCGCCTCTTAGGGGGTTGTCGGACAAGAAAAGGTATTGCAGATACCTTGGTGTTCTTATAATTGTGGATCTCTTACGGGGTTGCCGGTGCTGCAATCAACAGCATGTCCTGAAGCCGAGTGTGGTGTAGGTATGTGAATGCAGCTTGCAGCTATCTCAGTGTTTCCAGTCACGTCGAAAACAAACGCACTTTGGCGAGTTCCCTCCACCCCCGAGAACAGCAGCCAGCCGCCGAAGCCCATCTTCATGAAATGGGAGAAAAGGTGACCTTCTTGAAAAGCAGGTTCTGGGCCACTTCAGCGTGTTTCAGACATAGTGGCGGCATGTGGCAGACGTTTCGGACATTGAAGGTTCCATGTCCCGGGTACCGCTGGTGCCGCGGCGAGACCATAATGTTTCTAGAATCTCCCGTGAACGAAATGGCGGATCGTTTGAGATTGTTTGCACGTTGCTGTGCGGAGGTGGACGAGTCTGCGGGCCTGCGCTTGCAAAACAATCAGGCTCTCTTAGCATGAGGTGATTGGACTGCAGCATCTCGAATTTGCGGCGCAGTGCATGGCTCCATCTGCCAGAATAGGATTCCTCACGTGCTGGCGCTGACTCTCAGCATCTGAGAGTTTGACAAGGCCTCCGAAGTTTGTAGAACAAACTTGTACGCCGTTTTTTCTGGGAGATGAGCCTATATAGACCTCCTCCTGAAACCATTAGCCCCATTGAGAAGCCGCCACAACTGAGACGGAGGATGAGCATGGCTGGTGCCGTGGTTGGCGCTTGAACGCGTCGGAGTTCGGGGGCCCTGGGCGTGGCTTATCCTCGCCCGGCTGCCGGGCTCAGAAACCAAAAGTCGCCAAAAGACGAAAACACAATAACAACATAACAACACGAGCATGAATGGGGGGCGGGCGGAACAGTGCACCACTACAGGAAGTACACGGACCATGGAGCAACCTCCCTCCACCATCCCTGACGAGAGGAAACGATTTAGAGACGTCTTGGAGGCCAGCAGCGTTTTCAAGTTGCCCTTGGGTCTTTGAAAAGGGAGTGAAGCAATTTCTTGTCGTTAAGATCTGTCTACAGGGCACAGACCTAAGCCCAGGCTTCCCAACCCCCTCCTGCGCTGCTTTTGCCAACAGAATGCACAGCCCTCCTCTCCCCAACTCTCGGACCCTGGGGCCTGCCAACTCTTGAAGCCTCTAACCCCAAATAGAAACTGCCAGAACTGAGATGTCTGGCTGGATGGGTGCTCGGCATCGGTTTCGTGCTGGAGCGCACCATGAGTTTCGTTAGGACTGGCGTAGGCTTGACAGTGTATGTGTTCAAACACTCCGCTTGGTCTATCTTGCCTCAGCTCCGACCAAAGCACAACATCAAATGAGACCAAGTCCCCCGCCAGATTCGATTTGGAAGATCCGAGGTCTGTATCAATGCTACTTAACTTCAGTACTGTCTATGCGGAAAGCTGATGTCCGCCTCTACAGCCCGCAGGGCTTCACCAAACGCGCTCGCTTCAGAAGTCTTCTGTGATATTTCCACAGCGGCCCAGCCTGGGCTCCAGCGTCTCCGATAGCGTTCTCGGCCAGCTGCAGCTCCTTCGCCGGTTTGGGCTCGTAGGAAGGCGGACTTGCGGCATGAAAGCTCAGAGAAGATGCGGGCCCACGGCGATTTTGAGGTTTGCTGCTACCCTGAGCTTCGGCTTTGGGGCGATTCAGATCGAGGCTTCGGGGCAGATATCTCGCACTGCACCGCCTTGAGTGTTTTTAATGAAGTCAACAGACGTGATGACCATGCACAAGCTATGCCGCCATATCCTTCCAAGATGCCTTGCAAGCTGACCGACCGCGGCTAAAACTATCGTTGTCGTTGTGATACACCATGCTTTGCACTGGAAGCTCCTTATGGGGCCCTCTTAGCCAGAAACCCTAAACATCCCGAAGCCCTAAACCGATGAGGAAGCGCGGCTAGGGAGCCCATGAACCCACAGCTTCGACAGGCTCCAAGATCCCTTTCAAACTTCGGGGGGAAAAATTCCTTCAACTCGCGGTTTAGGGTTCAGGCCTTTATAGGGTTTGGAGGAACCCTACGGCTATTTAAGGAATTTTCCTTGCTTAAGGGTTTTTGAGCTACCCTTCGCATTTGATCAGTCAAACCCGAATAGCATGCCGCTCCCAAGCAGAGCTCCCCCGGCGACCTTTACAAACCCCGGCGGAGACTGGCAACTGGCGGTCCTCGATGTTCGGGAGAGCTTTCAGTGCTTCTCCCAGGGCCTCTGCACACGAGGAAGTTTGGGGAGAGCGGGTCTTGGAAGTTGGGAGGGCCATGTCCCGGACTTCGACTCGTCACAGTCCGAGGCTCTCAGGATAACTCCGCAGGAAATGCTTTTTGTACGCACTTCAGACGGAACAGGCAGTGCACCTGCACCGAACAAATCCCAACTTGATCAACTCCAGGCCTGCGTCCCCGCATTGCCGAAGATGTTCTTGGAAAGGTCTAAGTCTCGTAGGTTCTTGTGGTCTGCCAGGCCCTCCGCGATGGCCTGCATTGGGACAGGCCACGGGCTGAACCGCGCCTTCCGCCCTCAATCTGGCCATCACGTCGCCGGATGTCTGAAAATATCTTCAGGGCCAAAACAGTACCGACTCCGAACCTTCCCCCCTCCCGATGCCTGGAGGCCGCTGTCGCCGATGCGATTGCCCAAGAGCCAGAGCACCCGCAGCGAGGAGTGGCCGCCCAGACCAGCTCCAAGGGCCTGCGCGGACGACCGAATCTATAGGACTCTTTGTCTTTTGGAAACGGTGCAGGCATCATGGGCTGGCCGGGCAAGTACCCTTATCCGGGGATTCTATAGGATAGCCAAGTTCTGTTTCCTAGGCTTGGCGGCACATAGTTGTAGAACCCTCCCACAAAGTGGGAAGGTCCTTGCTGAAACCCAAGGCATATCCTCTCCGCAGGGTCTCCCGCACCCGACCCCCCCTCCCCGCGGGCTCGCGCATGCAGGCCAACTAAGGGGCGTAGAGCACCGACATTTTTCTATTCGCAGAATATACATATACAGAGGAAAGGAGGTTAAACGTTCATGGCCGTAAGAAACTATATGTATTGCAAGTTATGCTTGGCGCAGGACGCGTATTGGAATTGTGACAGTACTTCAATGGGCAAGATCTGATATTTTTGATCCTTAAGGTGGTTGTCGGTGGGAAGCAAAGGTATTGCAGATAGCTTCGCCTCTTAGGGGGTTGTCGGACAAGAAAGGGTATTGCAGGTACCTTGGTGTTCTAATTGTGGATCTCTTACGGGGTTGCCGGTGCTGCAATCAACAGCATATCCTGAAGCCGAGTGTGGTGTAGGTATGTGAATGCAGCTTGCAGCTATCTCAAGCGTTTCCAGTCACGTCGCAAACAAACGCACTTTGGCGAGTTTCCCTCCACCCCCGAGAACAGCAGCCAGCCACCGAAGCCCATCTTCATCAAATGGGAGAGGAGTCAAGAAGAGGTGACCTTGAAAAGCAGGTTTATGGGCCACTTCAGGGAATTGCAGTCATAGTCGCGGCATGTGGCAAACATTTCGGACATTGAAGGTTCCATGTTTCGGGTATCGCTGGTGCCGCGGCGAGACCATAATGTTTCTATAATCTCCCGTGAGCAAAGTGGCGGATCGTTTCATATCTTTTGCACGTTGCTGTGTGGCAGTGGACGAGTCTTCGCGCTTGCGCTTGCAAAACAATCCTGATGAAGGGTCTTTTACAGAACTGTCACGCTGCCAACGCTTCAGCAAGTTCTCCTGCGAGCCTGCATGATTCGTTGCAAGGCTTTCCCCCGCCTCCTCTGCACCATCAAAAATGACACTCAGGAGCCCCCAGACATGAGTTTGTCGCCCATGTGGCCTGGCTCCCGAGGACAAAAACTCGCTTGAGCACTGACTAGTGCCAGCCCTTTGGATGTTTCAGGCGTCGAATTTGCAGTGTGCCTGGGTCCATCTGCCAACATAGATTTTTTTCACGTATTGGTGCTGACTCACGCTGACAGGTCTGTCCTGTGCGTTTTGCTGCTTAGTACTGGTGCCGCGGAGGGTGCTTGAGCGCGTCGGATTTCGGGGGCCCTGGGCTTAGGCTCAGAAACCAAAAGATACCAAAGTCGCCAAAAGACGACAACACAATGACAACGCAACACCACGAGCATAAATGGGGTGGGGGGACGAACAGTGCACCACTACAGGAAGTGCACGGACCATGGAGCAACCTGCCATACGATTTAGAGACGTCTTGGGGGCCAGCAGCGTTTTCAAGATGTACTTGGGTCATTGAAAAGGGAGTGAAGCGGTGTCTGTCCTTTTCGTTGCAAGGTTCATGACGCAAGATCTGTCTAAAGGGCACGGACCTAAGCCCACGCACTCCCCTCCTGCCCTGCGCTGCTTA